ACATTAAGGTAAGTTGCTTTTTTTTGTTTTGTAACTTGCCACACTAGATTATTTCTAAAAATTTTATGAAACTTTTCTTAATATTCCTTTCCTAAAACCTTACGTTACTCAACATTTGCTTTTTAATTATCTATAATAAAGTCTAGATGCAGCTCAAGACTTGCAAACTCTATTGGCTCCGTTTGGTTTAGTTTTGGATTTATGATTTGAGTGTAAAGTTGTCATTTAAGTGTAGAATTGTGAATTGAGTTTTAAAAAGAGAAAAATTGTTTGGTTATAAGTTGTGAAAAAAGTTTTGAGTTTTGAAAAGAGTTTTGAGGTGTATTTTCAGTTTTGAGTTTTTGAATTTTGAAATTTTTTGGATTTATTTTTTTAAAATATTAAAAAAATGTTTAAGAATTTTTTATTTTAAATATTTAATTTTTATTTAAATTTTTTTATTTTAAATATTTTATTTTATTTTGCAAATATTTTAATTTTAATATTTTAAATTCAAAACATAAATCCACACTCATAACCAAACATATAACTCAAAACTCAATTCAAAAACTATTTTCAAAACTCATAACCAAATACATAATTTGAAACTCTATACTAGTTTCAAAACACCACACTCAAATTGTAACAAAACACATAACAAAAAAAAATTAAAATATTTACAAATACATTTATAAAATAAACAATATTTAAAATTAATTTTACAGCACACAAATGTATGAAATATAGTACACATTAAAATAAATAAATAAATAAATGTTTAAAATATTAAATATTTACCCTAAAAAAATAAAATTAAGAATTTTTTTAAACATTTAAAAAAAATAAATTCAAAAAATTTCAAAATATAACTCAAAACTTAAAATATAACTCAATTCAAAACTCATAACCAAACAAATTTTCTTTTTTCAAAACTTAACTCAAAGCTCATAACTCAAAAAATAATTTTAAAAAAAAAAATGATTTTTTTTTTTTAAAGTAAAGTTTTGGAAAGAATTTGATTTTGAGTATTAAATAGGCTATGTTTGGCGTAGGCTTTTTTTGTACTAAAAATCTAAAAATATAAAATGTCATATCCAAATCATAATCATTTCATTTTTTTTCTCACAAAATTCAAAAAAATCAAAAAGTCTATCCTAAACGAGCCTTTTTAGCCCAAGGCTAAAATAGTCAAAAAGCCAACCCCATCCCAAACGAAGGCTGAGTTTTAAGTTGTGTGTGTGGTTATGAGTTTTAAAAATAATTTTTAAATTGAGTTTTGAATAGTTTTAAGTTGTGTGTTTAATTATAAATTTTAAAAAAAATAACAAAATTTTTTTTAATTAAAATCATAATTTTAAAAGACAACCAAACAGCGTATATACATTTCCTACAATTTTAAGCACTATGCATAAAAAATTGTTACATCTTGTGATTGGTTTTATGTACTACACACAATGCACCGCATCATAAAAAATTGTTACATCTTGTGATTGGTTTAAAATTGTGTGATGGATCCCATTTACAGCGATGGCCACCATAATGTTTTAATCAATCATAGTATGTATTTTATTCATAAATTGCATGAACAAATTTGGACTTTAAAGTAGGTTAAAATTTTTATATTTAAAAAGATAGTTGAATTATTTTATAATTAAATGTGATATTTGTGACAAAAAAAATAAAATAATTTTAAATTTAATGTGACATTTTATCTTATTAACTATTTAAATTTATTTTATCTTTTTATAAATTTTAATCAAAAAACAATCTAAACCCAACTTGTCAAACACCGACAGAGAGTGCTAAGCAATTTCACCATAGAAAAATTACTCGTCTTTTTTTGAGGAAACTCACCAAACAAGCCTCTAGTTACATCACTATGCCTATGATTTACACAATTTTTGAGACTTTTAACTTCTTTTTTTCTTGTCCTTTTTCTTTTTTAAAATTAGAGACTTTAACCTTACAACAGTACAATTTTAGCATCTGCAATTGTAAGATGGCTTTAATATGATTAAAGTTTTCTCACTTTTTACACTCAAAAAATAAAAAATTGAGAGAGGATTCTCTCTAGTAAAGTGGAGGTTCAATTGAGGAATGTAGACCATCACGTGTTTCACTTTGATAGCTAGAGTCATTTAACTTAGGGCTTTGATAGAGACTCCCTCTAAAGCACAGAATGGGCCTAAGGCCGTTTTTATATAAAATTTACAGGTTTGATGTACTTAATATGAATCTCATTTATATAATCCCTTTATTTTGGTATTATTCACTAGGCGTTAGCTCACTCTTATTTATATATATGTAGGTGAGCAAAGGGATGTTCAACCCCAGCCTTAGTGGAGTTTAAGAAAGGCACCCGAGTTTTGTGAAGGCAGCCCAGGTGCCTCACGCAAGAGGCTTTGTTTATGATCTTTTGTATTTTCTTTTGCTATTTCCATTGGTCATGATAGACCGTTTATGTGTATAAACTTTTGATATAATTGACTATGTGTTTGAATGATCCTGGGTGCACAAGATGTTAACTACTAATATATGGTGTAAGTTATTATTAAGTGTATGGGAAATGTTTTTAATTTGCCATGTAAGCACAGTTCATTGGACAAAATTTTTAAGTCTACTGCTGCATCTGGCCCCATATTATTAATTTTAAATTGATTTCTATTTGAGGCCGAGGTAATCTCATGATTACTGGCCGGTTATGACCTTAATTTATAAGTGCGGGTTTGGGTCATGCCACCAGTATTGTGTTGTGAAGCCATGGACCTGGTTGTGACCATCCACCCTGACTTAGGAGATGGGTGATGATAGAGTTCCCTCTGGTGACAATGAACACAACTGTCAACCAATGGTGCAAGTTCCCACAGACGGCGCCAACTGATGAAGCGGTTGCTTCAACTGGGGGATGGGTTAGACTGATCCATGCTTTCAACCAGTCTGCTGGTTTCAACGTTCACAAAGCGTGCCTGCAAAACAGTCCAAGGGGGGAGATAGTCCCCCGGTGGACATTCTGACGATGAAGTTAGATTAGAACAAGTTGGTTTTTTGGGAAGAAAGAGAGAATGTAACTAAGGATAGAAAAACTTAACCTTGACGTATCTCCAAGACTTTCTTATACCCGTTGCTCATCATTTCCTTATATATTCCAAGCTGTCCCGTTGACCGAAATTCTATAGTCTAGTTAACATCATTCATGGTGAGTCTATATCCTCCGGCGTGGAGGGGTTGCTGCATTTAATGCTATGAGGGCCTTATTAATGGCTGATGTGTGGGTGCAATAACTTTGCAGGATCTTTGTCTGTTTTCGTGGCTGATTTTCTGCTTGACAAGTGTTTAAATGCTATTGGTCTTGGTTCAATATTGGCTCCTCATGGATACTGGGCTTTGGTATTTGGGCCTTGAGTTGGGGTATTGGTCCTAGTTCAATATTGGTTTCTCAAGGATACTAAGCTTTGATATCTGGGCCTTGAGTTAGGGGCTGGGCCCTCTTAAGGCCCATCAGTATCAATTGGGAATGTTGAAAATTCAAAAATCTATGCAGAAAATAAGTGGCTAAGTTCTTAAACCCCTCTTCATAAGTATAAAAACCTCAGATCTACAATATGAAAGTTTGGAGCTCACTGAAAAGTTATTAGATTGATGCCAAAAATTGCTTAGAGCGAGAGGCTCTCCAAAGCCGTTGTCGGGCCTTTCATGAGTTGAATGTGTTGATATAGTGTGGATCTTTGTAAATACTTGACACTGTCTTTGTAATTTGTTTATTTTTTATCACAGTAAATATCAAAACCATCATAGACATAATTTTAATTTTGGATGTGCCCGAAGAGAGAAAGGATAGAGGTTCTCTCTCTGGAGATTTTCGACAGTTCTCTAGCAAAGCTCCGGTGACTTCCTTTACACTTCTAAAATGTAGATCTACATTACTAGAGTATAGATTTGCACTTCCAAAGTGTAGATCTGGATTTTTTATGTTTGAAATAGGGGTTTCAAGTGTTTCTCCTCCGCTTTTGGCATAATTTTTTGAATTTTCGACACCCACAATGATTCTCTCCTCTCAAACTTTCTCACATCCCATTGTTGGTGTTCTTCCTCTTCAACTCTAGCTTCCGCCAGTGTCCGAAGTATAGCGGCGACAGTGACAGAATTGGACAAAGGAGACAAGGACGACGTCGACGGTGGATATTGATGCAAATCTTGCTTGATTTGATGCAGATTTAGTTTTTCAAACTACATTTATGAGAAGATCGATTATTTTTTCTAAATTGTAACTGATTTTTGGACAATTTTACTTTTGTTGTTTGTAATTTGTTATTTGGTTATTTATTTGGCCCTTTAAGATCTTAATATTTTTATTTTCATCTGTATGTTATTTATTTTATTTTAATACAACTGCTTTTTATATTCTTAAAAAAAAAAATTGGATAAATTATTTGCTAGATATAACTGCACCTAAATTATTATTTATTTTTTTTAGCCCACATGATTGGCATCAGGACGCCAAAGATGCTTTTACTAGATTTTGCTTTAGTGAGTCACTCTTTCCAGTCACAACTAGTTAGCATATGAGAAGAGTATTAACGAGCACACATTGCTCCACTTAGGACAAGTCATAGATAGACATCAGAATCAATCCAAGGTGTACCTAATTTTTTACGAGTAAGGTTATAGACACTAAGGTCTAGTTTATGAAGACTAAATAAGTATATTTTTTAATTTTTTATAAAATATGAGTTGAATTTGAGTTGAATTTAAAGTGATGTATTAGAGAGATAATGTGACTTAAATAAGATGATGTGACTTCAATAAAATAGTAATTTTTTGACTTTTTTATCTTTTTTCAATTATGCCAAACTTGCCCTAAACTTTTTATTAAATTAATAATCAAATGTTTCAAAGTCGGCAACCTTACACCCACGTAAAACATTTGACCATTTATTTAATAGAAAATTCAAAACCTATAACATTTTCTATTTTTTAACAACAAACATAAAGGAAAAATTCCCACAAGTTTAGATACAACATCACAGCAAAATGGTCCCCCAATACATGGGAGGAACCACTTAGGTATAATAATTTCTCCCAATCCCATCACTTTCCCAATTTTATAGTCTCCAATATGATTTGGGGCAGGAGAGGGTACTACGAGTCGGTTTCCGCCCCATCCATTGCCATCCCTACTGTGCTGCTTCTCCCCAAAGAGTCCAAGAACTATACTTTGGATAGTGCCTAAAAATGTCAAGAACTATACTTTGAGGTCAGCCTATTTGCGTGTTGGGTTCCCATGTTCTTTCTCATTGAACTACAATTGCAAGCAAGGAAATTCAGATAAAAAATTCTTCTAAACAGCATAGATAGGAAATTTTAAAGCATATATATAACCAATATCTCATGCACTCTTAACCTAGTACTAATGTAGATGACTAAATTAGTCCCATATGAGCTTTTCATCAGCCATCAATAAAACTTTATCCGCAACCCAAAATCTCTAATTGAAAATCTAACACCACAAAAGACCACTCAGAAAGTCCTCCAAATCAGCTAGCAAGTCGAAGACAACAAGACCAGCTTCACCATCATGCTGCAACTCCTGCTTCCCCATGGAGGAGCATCTGATCAAAGTGCCAGACTCCTGAAATCACAGGAATACATACTGGGTTTTAGAACAGGAAAGACGGAAACAAAGAAATGCAGCAGCAACACATATAAGATAGTTGTTGTTGTTGTCGTCGTCGTCGTCGTCTTTTTTTTTTTTTTTAGAACATGAGAAGCAGTTATATTAAAATAAAACAAACAATATACAAATTAAAAAGAAAAACAACAAGACCCTAAAGGGCCAAACAAATAACCAAACAACAAAAATAGATCTACCAAAAAATCAGCTACGAGCTAGGGAAAACCACAATCTTCTCATAGATGTGATTTGAAAAACTAGATCTTCATCAAACCAAGTCAGATTTGCATAAACACCCGCCGTCCCCGTCGTCCACATTCCCATTGCCGCTATCTAACTCTGTCACCGCCGCCGTAATTCGGACACCGCCAGAAGCTAGAGTTGAAGAGGAAGTAACATCCACAATAGTATGGGAAAAGGATTGAGAGAAGAGAAAACCATCGTATGTGTCGAAAATCAAAAAGCTATGTCAAAATTGGGAGAGAAACACCCAAATCTACATTTTAGAAGTGTTGTCGTCGGAACACCCCTCTCTTCCGGCCTTTATATAAGATAGTTATTGCTATTGCTAAATTGTAGCAACTTCAACAGAAAAGCAAGCTTCAATGTCATGCCAAAATATGACATTGCCAAAATTTGTGATGCCAAATTTTGACTATAGCTTTCTTTCTCTCTTTTATAATGGGGCCCCCAAATGACATTTTGAATTTTATTTTTTTATTTTTTTATTTTGGAATAAAATAGAAAAAATTACTAGTGCACCATTGGAACATTGCTAAAACAGCAACTGCTAGGTACCCAAAAAATTTAATCAGAATAAGTATTGAATGGTTGATATTCATTTCAAGTATGGTTTACCACTATACAAGAATTAAATCTAAGCCACATCAAGTGTCTGGTAAAGTATTATGGATTCTTAGACTTTATGGTGCTCAAATTTGGTATTCTTATACAATGTCATGCCAAATTTGGTGTTCTTTCACTATTCATTTTACATTTTAGCATCTGCTCCAACAAGGCCAAAATTACAAAACAAAATGGATTAAAATAGGGATCAAGGTGTGAGGAATTTGGATTCATACCATGTCCTTTGCCCACTCTCCGCAACTGAGCAACGTATTCTGACATCTTCTTAATGGCTTCCACCTAATAATAATAATAAGAAAAAGATTGAACACAGAAATCAGTATATCATGCTTACATGAGTGACACAATTATCTTCTAAAAGGAAATAAGGAAATTTCAGATGAATGGGAACAAATGTATTTGCGTTTCACCTGCTCAGTTAAAAATTCACTTTCGACAAAATCAGTCAACTGCGCATCATTGTTCTGGCTTGCTACCTGTTGTCACAGTTAATATCGTAAATAACCAATACCTCAACTTCACACTAGAATAACGACAGTAAGCAATTTCAAACACACTGGATTACATAGATCAACTTTTCGATCCTTGGAGTCACAAAATGTAATACAACTTCCTCGGACATTTTCTCCATTGGTCATATAGAACTGCCTAAAAACGAATGAAAACTATAACAAGAACTAGGGCCAAGTAAACAGGACACAAAAGGAATGTCTTACAGCGTGCAAGTTCAGAAGTTTTTCATTTGTCAACTTCTCCAAAGACAGTGCAAGCTCCATTGCTACATCAACAAATTTGCCACAATCAGTATCAATCGCTTAAGATATAGAGGTTTCAATCACTTTTTTTAAAATAAAGGGTTCATGAGTATGAGTACACAAATTGACATGCCGTGAACAGCAAAACCACAAAACAAAGGCAATTTTACAAGCACTCGGCAAGTTTGGGAACATACTAAAATAGCTAAAAGGTCACTGCCAAAAAGTCACTTTTCTCTCTACTTTGAACGTCTTTTTATAAAAAAACTAAAAAATCAACTAAAATAACTACTTCCCAAAACAACCCTTAGTTCTTGGTCATTTACCATTAATAACAGCAATACACATGCTACTCAAAGGCAGACAAGAAGAGCCGATACATGTAAGTGATTACTACATGAGCACATCACGATGGAAATCATTATAAATTAAAATACAAAATGCCAAGGAAGTCCCTGTGTTTCCATAAAATAAAATGTTCAAGACGCTACATGATGAAAGCCACCGCATGAAGTCCAATTCATTGTACTTCATGACCCAAAGAAATCATAATCAAAAGCCAAAAAGAGCACATTTGAAAACAACTGTATGGCTATATCGTTAAATTGATAAAAGCTGTAATAAAGCAGGTTCAATTCTCATCATATTGCATAAAGAAAAGCCAAAACAAAAACTTACCATACAATGCATCTCCCTTCTCATCATGGTCAAACTCAGACAGTGGCATCAGAATTGATTGCAGCTTCACTTTCCCACCTCGTTTTTTCTGACATTTATTGCAGCAACAAATATTAGGGATTCAAATTCATACAAACTATTCCAATTAGAAATCAATTGAAAATGAAACGTTTTGAATCATAGATGTATTTTTTTCAAACACCTGATACTTCATGAACTTCTCAGCATGGTCCCGTTCCTCTTCACTTGATTCCTCAAAAAACCTACATATAACAAGCAATAAATCAGATCAGACTTGCCCCCCAATAAACCATAAGGAAAGTAATTCAAATAAAAAAATTTGAGAATTTTGAAAGATTACTTTGCAAGACCCTTGAGAGCAATGTTGTCGCGATCAAAGTAGGCAAACATAGCATGGTACACATATGATACATTGTATTCAACACTGTAAAAACAAACAAGTAGACATAGAACATTAGAGAAAATGTGAAAATCAAGTAATAGTCAGAGCTCAAACAGAGTCCATTAAACTAATAGCTCAAGCACGAACATAAACACCAAGCAATGGTACACATAAACACCCATATGGAGAATCCATAAAATTAAGAACTAATAAATGTTGAAATTTTGTTTTGGATAAAAATGATGACAACAAATAATCACATAGATAGGCCTCATTTGGGTAGTCATATTTTACCCTAAAACCAAAAAATTACTAAAAGAGTAAAAAAAAAACTTTTAAAAATAAGAAAGAACAATAATGCCAGACACCGACATTTGAGACCCCCCTAAATACACCCCAATCATATGGCAAGGAAGTAGGATTCCGGATCCTCGAGAGTGATTTTTCATAGGGTGATCTTAAAACTTATTTGGGAGTTGACTTTTTAGTTTTATACAAAAATATGTGCAGAAAATAGAGCGAGATGTATCTGGTGTTTTTTTTTTGGACTTTTTAACTAAAAATTCATCTTCCCAAACAAGTTAGTGATTTTTTAAATGACCGATATTTTTTTAAAGTGATTATCAGTACTATTGTATCCTCAACTTTTGTATGGTAAATTATTCAAAAAATCACTCTAACTCTAAAATAACTCTACGTAAAATCACTTTAGAGGATGCAAATATAAGTAGAACTTCACATAATTGAGAGTATGTGACAAGCCAAAAGTTGAGACCTATCATTTCACATCATTGGGTGAAATTATGGGGGTTTTATTACAGGTCTCAAACATTTTTCAAAGAAAATAAATAATAATTAATCAACACATACAAAAAAAAGCCAAAGATTTTCTCAGTCACTTTACTTTTTGCACAAAGTCATTTTCAGACATGGCCTTGTTTGGTTTGTATTTCTCAAAAATTTTTGGGAAAAATTCCTTACAAATAAGTTTTCAAAAGTAATCAAATCAAACAAATTTTCTCAAAAAAAATTTTCAAAACTTGTTTGGTTTACAACTTTTCCAAACAAATCTCTCTCTCATACACATCAAATTAATCACTTTTTCTAAAACTCTCTCCCAAAATAATTTTCCAAAACATCTTTTGAAAAAAACCAAACCAAACAACTTTTTGTACTTTTTATCTCTAAAACTCATCTCCCAAACTCAAACCAAACATATCAAATTTTAACCCCTTCAAAAAAACAAAAACAAAAAAGGGGTCAAAAAATCACTAAAAACTTCTTCCCAAACCACCCCTTTGAATATCAATCAAGAAAGGAAAATAAACCCAATCTGAGATTGAGAAAATATGACCCAAACATGTTAAAAGGGAATAGAGGAACCACGTAGAGAGCTAAAAATACGTAGATAAAAAAAATCAAGAACTGACATAAATGTCGGAACACTGTTTGGGATACGCATGATAAAAAAACAAATAATCAAATACATTTTATGATGAATATCAATCAAGAAAAGAAAAGAAAGCGGAAAAAACAGAAACCCACTTGATCTGTTCGTTGATAGCGGACTCGCATTCATCGGAGTATTTCTGGCGAGCAATGGAAGAGTGGGGGAGAGTAGGGACGAGTGTGAGCTCCTTCTTCACCTCTTCAAACGGCTCGAACACTACACCGGTAAGAGGCCGATTGTCCGAGCCCTTAGAAGCGCAAACCAGAAACCCATTTCCGATCTTGGCTTTCGAAGAAACCCCCAAAACAGAGGACCCAAATGGACTCAGATTGTCCCCATGAGGGTTCACGAGAGAGAAAGCCGAAGCAGCTCGGAGAAGCATAATGGTGTTTGTAGAGAGAGAGAGAGAGAGAGAGAAAGAGAATGAGGTTGGGGAAGAACAGGGAAGATGACAAGGCTTAGGGGTGGTGTGGTTTGTGGTGAGTGAGTATGAGATATATGGGAAGTGCATGTCTGGCAGCATTGGATGTGGGCCGTTGGATGGAGGACACGTGGAGGGATGGGATTGAGTGGTGGCAGAGGGAGCGTGGTAGGCTTGTGGCGTATCTGGAGATGCTTGTGGAATCCCGAGACAATTTTTTTTTTGTTTTTTTTTGAACTGCCCGAGACAGAAAATCTGGTCCAGCGTTTTCGAATGGAAAACTTATGGAGGGGTCTTTTGGCAAAGCCAAAAAAAAATCAATTTTTTAGTTTTTTAATTTTTGTACATAAAAAATCAATTTTTTTAGTTAAAAAAAAAAAAGTCAATTTTTTTTGTCAAAAAAAATGATTAAGAAAGTTAAGAAGTCAATTTTTTATCAATTTTTTAAAACGCTCTTGAATAATATTATATGTATCAATTGATATATTAACTAATGTACTAATTGATGATGTGACATAATGCCGTTTTGGGAAGAAGCCGAAAACGCAGGGTTCGTTTGGTTTGTATTTGTGAAAAATTTTTGGGAAATTTTCTCTAAAAATAAGTTTTTAAAAGTAATCAAACCAAACAAATTTTCCCAAAAAATTTTCTCAAAACTTGTAAACCAAACAAGTTTTCCAAACAAATCTCTCTCTCACACACATCAAATCAATCACTTTTTCCAAAACTCTCTCTCAAAATAATTTTCCAAAATATTTTTTGAAAAAAACCAAATCAAACAACTTTTCGTACTTTTTATCTCTAAAACACATCTCTCAAACACAAACCAAACATACCCGCAATGTTTGGCAACAACAACAAAAACACAGCATCATGCAAAAAGCCAAAACCCAAAACCCACCATTTGGGAAGACCCCAAAGCGCAGCTTCTTCATTTACCAAACTACCCTTTGAAAAAATTATTATTAATTAATTCAAAATAGTGTTGACATGCCAAAGGATAAAGTTGTAAATCTAATTAAAAAGTAAGGATATTTTGGTCATTTTAGAGTGATGTGACACTTTTACAAAATATTAAATCAAAAATCAAAAAAGTCAGCTTTTTACTAACTTCTCAAATCACTTCCAAAAAAGCAAAAAAGCTTGGTAAAAAGTCAAAAGTCAACTTTTTACCAACTTTCCAAAACACTCCATAATTTAAAAGGTTTTTTGAATTTATAATGTGATTAATGAGTGGAGTCAATAATAATGTTATAACTAATGTTGGTACACTAGTTAGTATACTAATTGGCGCATGTAACACTACCGATACTTATTAGTAGTTGATACAATATTCTCATTAATTATTGAGGCCCTTTTGGGAATTCGATATTTTAGTAGTTTTTTAATTTTTTATAAAAAATTATATAGAAAAATAAAAAAAGTGATGCAATAATTTACAGTAACGATAGATAGAAGTATTAGGGGACTGGGTAGGCAGAGATTAACATTGACTAGCGTTGTAAATAGAAATATGGATCTACTTAATTTGACTAACGAAGTGACCTTTGATAGAGTTGTATGGAGAAGAAATATTTATATAGCCGACCCCATTTGATGAGATTAAGGTTTGATTTTTTGATTAAAAATAGTTTCTAAACAAAACTTGAATGTCACCTAAAATCAAAGAATTGTTTGGATTGTTTCAAATAAATATTTTAAATTTTTTTTTATTAAAAGATATATAATATGATAAAGAGATGATATAATTCAAATAAAAGATAATATGATCTAAATAAGATTAAAAAAAATGTGTTGCTTTAATATATACCAAATAATCCCCAAATCACAAAGAGCAATGTTAGAGATACAATAAACTTGCTTGTGTTAAAGTTTGTTTAGGGTGATTTATTTTAGACTCTTATTTGAATTATATCACCTCGCTGTCATATTGCATAATTTTTCATAAAAGCTCAAAATGTATACTTATTTAGATTATCTCAAACAATCTTTTAGTTTTTGAATCAACTTTTGAGAGTTTAAAACTTAAATTTGTTTGGTTTACAATTTTTTCAAAATTGTTTTCAATTATTTTTTTCTATCTCTTTTCTCTTTTTTTTTCGCATCCTACACATCGATCAATCATTTTTTCTTTCTTCTCTCTTCTCTCAATATTTCACAACTTACATATCAATTCATCATTTTTTTCCTCACACTAATCTATTCAACTAAAAAAAAAAAAAAAATACAAATCATTCCAAATTACAAAACTACAAAATTATTTTCAAAATAAACAACTAAACAAATTTTTAAATTTTGAAAAAACTTATATTTCAAAATTGATTTCAAAATCAAACCAAATGAATCCAAAATTTTTTATACACGAGTGTGGAACTCATACTTATGTGAGTGTAGGAATGGCAACGGGGCGGGGCCAGGGATTGCCCTCCCCGTCCCCGATCCCCGAAAGTATGGAACCTCCCGTCCCCGCCCCCGATCCCCGACAGGGAACCCCTCACTCCCCCCACCCCCGTTCCCTAACGGGGATCGGGTTTTCCCGACCCCGAAACATCCCCGACGGTGACTGAGTTACAGAATCCCTCATCATCATCATCATCACACACACACACACACACACACAGACACGCACACACATCTTCATAATAGAACCCCTCATCATCCTCATTACCAGTCATCATCCTCATAACCAATCTTCAACCAGCTGAGTTACAGAACCCCTCATCATCATCATCTTACACACACACACACACATCTGCAGATCTGAGATTGAGATCTGAGTCGTCATCATCATCATCATCACACACACAGACACAGTGAGAGAAGAGAGGTCTCGATCGGTTGAGAGAGGAGAGAAGATGGGGACTAGTTGCGCCACTGGTATCAAGCGGCGGAGTGCGGCCACGGCGGCGTAGAGACGAGAGACAGAGAGCGGCAGAGGAAGAGGGGATCTAAGATAAGAGAGAGAGAGATCTGAAATGAGAGATGAAAGGAGTTTTGTTAGATTAGATCTGTGATAAGAGAGAGAGAGAGAGAAGAGTATCTATTATATATAGTGGGTTGGTGAGTGAGAGAGGAGAGAGAGGTGGGGCAGAATCGAGACCGAGAACGGGGCCGGGGTCGGGGTCGGGCCGGGCAGAGGCAGAACAACTTATCACCGTCCCCGGCCCGAAAATGATCGGGGATTTTTTTTTTAATACCGTCCCCGGCCCGTCAGGGGTATTTTTCGGGGAATCCCCGTGTTAATCGGGGTCGGGAGGTCGAGTCCCCGTCAGGCCGGGTTTAAATTGCCATCTCTATGTGAGTGTTTGGTATAAATATTGATAGAATATTTGGAGTGTAATAGTTTAATAATTTTGAATCATAAATCTCACCTCTTTTATCAATCACAATATTTTGGAACACCACTTAGCCATGAGAAAATTATTTGGTGTTCTCAGAACGTCACGTAACAATACTCCTCACCAATTACAATATAGTACGCCTCTTTTGCTCCTCAATTACCCATTACAAAATCATAAATTCTACTTAACCAATCATGACACTCTTGGGCATCACCTAACAGTGCTTCAGGACCACTCAATAACTTCTCCTTTGTAATGCCTCAAAACCACTAAATAACTTTTCAAAAAACATGCAAATGACATGAATTGATGGGGTCAAATTTGGGATTTCATTGATTGTTCAATTTTTGTCCAACTGTTATATAATTAGGGATGGCAATTTGAAACCGACCCGACGGGGACCCGACCCCCCGACCCAAATGGGACGGTTTTTCCCCGAAAAAAACTCCCCACGAGCCGGGGATGGTATTAAAAAATAAACCCTCGATCATTTTCGAGCCGGGAACGGGGATAGATTTCCCCGCCCCGGCCCCGGCCCGAGTACACCCGTATATATCCCCGAATATATATAGTATATGTGTTTAGGTTATTTCATTTCATTTCACTCCTCTCTCCCACTCACACTCTCTTCTCTAGGCGATGCTCTCCCTCTCTCTGCTGCGATGCTCACGGCGATGGCGCCGGCGTCGGCCGCTCCTCCTCTCTCCCTCACGGCGTCACTCCTCCCTCTCTTCTCTCGGCCTCTCTCCCTCTCTCTGCTGCGATGCTCACGGGTGTGTTTAAATCTGAAGATCTGGGTGTATTTAGGTATTTGTTATTTGTTATTAAATCTGAAAATCTGAAGAAGAAGAACAGATCTGTATATATATCTGATGAAGAACAGATCTGATTGTTGTGTATATATATATCTGTATATATATATATGTCTATGATTAATTTTTTTTGATGATTGTTATATATATATATATATATATAGCCATGAGAAAATTATTTGGTGTTCTCAGAACGTCACGTAACAATACTCCTCACCAATTACAATATAGTACGCCTCTTTTGCTCCTCAATTACCCATTACAAAATCATAAATTCTACTTAACCAATCATGACACTCTTGGGCATCACCTAACAGTGCTTCAGGACCACTCAATAACTTCTCCTTTGTAATGCCTCAAAACCACTAAATAACTTTTCAAAAAACATGCACATGAATTGATGGGGTCAAATTTGGGATTTCATTGATTGTTCAGTTTTTGTCCACCTGTTATATAATGCCAGAGCTATAAGAGACAAAAGTATGGGGTATCTTTATTAATTATGAGTTAATTTTATTAATCATTATAATTTAGATGCTAATAATAGATGAAGAATAATAGGTGCAGCACAATTTTAAATTTTAAATTCACTCATAATTTTAAATTTTAACAGATGAAGAATAATTAGGCTTCATATAATTAAATTTGTGATAAATTAAAAATCGATACCTAATATATTATGAGTCAATTTGATGTAATTTATTATAAGTTAAAATTTATAATAAAAATGTAAACGTCAAAACAGATTCTCTCAATTTCTAAATAATTATTTTTTTTCACTTTATTTAAGATATCTTCCTTAATCAGTTGTACATAGAAGTTATACTTATTTGACACAGACTTTAAAAAAATAACTATAACCAAAATAAATTGCACCAAATAACCTTTATGTCATTGCGAAAAA